AGAGTATTGGGTTTACCATTTATTTCAGCCAAGGATGTCTAGAACATCCTTGGAAATACAGGATTCATTTGTGACATTCTCTGTCTTAGAATACCACAAAGATCATCCAGGGCCATCTCTGATTTCCTGCAGACAAGTAATGGGATAGTAATTAGTAATAACAAACTTTTTGTGTTGTCATCTGTCTCTGCACTATGATGCAAATGCCATCTTCCTAAGCATGAAGAGCCTGCTAATTAGGCCCAAATTTCATATTTTCCTCCTAGGAGTGGCAAAACTTTAGCGAGGTGGGGGTTAGCCTGTTCTCCCATGTGCCTGGTGACAGAACGAGGGGGAATGGGCTTAAGTTGCGCCAGGGGAGTTTTAGGTTAGATGTTAGGAAGAACTTCTTCTTTACCGAAAGGGTTGTTAGACACTGGAACAGGCTGCCCAGGGAAGTGGTGGAGTCACCATCCCTGGAAGTCTTTAAAAGACGTTTAGATGTAGAGCTTAGGGATATGGTTTAGTGGGGACTGTTAGCGTTAGGTCAGAGGTTGGACTCGATGATCTTGAGGTCTCTTCCAACCTAGAAATTCTGTGTGATTCTGTGTGAACTGTAGCTTGAGAGAACTGAAATTTCTTGCCTTTTGACCTAGAAGCCAAGCTATGCCCTCTCCCATGTTACTGCATGGAGTTTACCTAGTTATGTGTATGACACAACATGACACATTACATATGAATAAGGAAAGAAAACCACAAAGTTGAGAATTTAAAGCCCGGAATAATGTCCTTTCATGGAATAATGTCAGGCCAGTGAACTAAAGGGAGTCAGGTACCAGACTGCACTGTGCTTACACTCAACTGCAGAGAGATGACTGATCCTAGACAAATCACAGCAAACAGGTGGAAGCAGTGAACAGCTACAAGGATGAATTTACTTTGTCAGCAGTATTAAAGGAACTGGGAGTTGGTGCATTTGTTCTTGCTATGTCCCAAATACAATGGGTAGCACAAAACTGCCCTAGTGGTAGACCAGATATTTGGAGTACTCTTTGGACTAGTCTTAGGTACATCAGTCATAAATAATTTGCTTATTTATTTTTGGAGAAAATCCTTAGTCACTGGGTAGACTGTGCTCCTGTATGAGGCCCAAAATAAGAAAGCACATGTCAGATATATCATGAAATGTTCGGAAAAGAATTGCTGGGGACGAATAAGCCGCAATAATTTGTTATCACAAACTATTGAATTCATAATGACTAGAGAACAATAATTTTGGATTGAGTTCTGAAAACCAGTCAGGGAACAAAGATGATCTCCTGCCAGATTTTTTCCTTCAAGACTTGTCTTTCCTAGTTTCATAGCACAGGTCTCTGGCATTTAAATCAGAGGCTGAAAAGGTTTGAAGAAACCCTTCTTTTAGGATCTACATAATTTATTCAGCATCTCTTACACCTGCTCGGGAGACATTTTTCACTAGGAAAGTAGAGTAGTAGGCCATAATTTTGATGCTTTTGCACTGATAAATTACTTTGAAGTATGCATGAAATGGATACATACATATATTTGAATGATATATCAACCTCTGAATATCTACTTAGTTCAAACACCTGCAAATACAGAGGGCCTAGCTGAGGTGACTGTAACATACCCATGTATTTAATGGAATCTTTCACAGACTAACTACTGAGTGATCACTTAAAAATTAGCAAATTTTGTCAAGTAGAAAGCAAGAGAATAAGAAATTAATGCATAAGAAATTAATTGCATAATTAATGCAAGATGTACTTCCCTAACTTGTTTTGACAAATATTTTTTATTTTTTAATGATTTTTTTTTCACAGCTTTTTAGTAAGTACTATGTAATGAAGTTTGGAAATGAAAGCGGCTTTATTAATACTGACCTTACTATAGTAGTCTGCTATTACAACTTAGCAGTCAGGAATGATACACTTCAGGGCAAATCAGAAAACGCACAAATTAGATTCTACTGTGTAAGAATCAATTTATGCATACGTTATAGCTTGATGATATAGCTATAAGATTAATAATGATTATATAAATTTATGAACTTTAGTTATCTGTTTAACAATAACATTGTAGTCATCCCAGATTTGCATTTTGTTTTGCTGGTTTGATTGTATCCATTTTTCAACCAGGGTCAGATCCACATATTATGTGTTATATATCATGGGGTATCTTGAGGAAGAGGAATAAATTTTGTATAAAATATTGCCCTGTACCGCTGCCCTTTCACATTAAAAAAAAATTAAATCCACAATTGTAACAGTGAGATCTACTACCCACTATGCCTACACAAAACACAGTATAGTCCATTGTTTATAAATTATGACATACTTCTGTATTAGACTTGAAAAGGTGCATAGTGATTGAAGAGATCATCCAGAAAGCATTATAAGAATAAAATTAATTTGAGATTACATTACGTAGTAGCTGCAGGAAAATACTGATGTCTGTGTTAATCTTTTGAAGTTTGTTCAGAAGGAATGAGTAGGGCAAACACAATATGCAAGGAAAATGCATATGAATATAGGCGTAAATGAAGTACAATGGATTGAGTGAATTTTTGAAGTGAGTCTGCTGAAGTCAAAGATTTTAACCTAGGAATTCAGTTTATTGAATGGCGTAGTGTAACACAGCCAGTCCATAGTTATGATGTTCTCAATGATTGCTGTTGAGGTCAGGCACACTTGACTGTAGAACCAGATGGTGTATGCATTAAGTAAAGTAAAGAGCAAAACAAGTAATCTGGAAAAGACGGGAAAAGATACTATATGGAGTACAAGCTCAGTGTGTTCTGAACAACAAGTTTCTCCCCTTCTGCAAGAGCCACCTCTGAAATCTATACCTCCAACAGAACCTAATTCAGCTGAAAATTTTTTATCCTAGAAGTTTAAAATCACACTATCAATGGAGGAGATTTAGAGCTATTTCAGATCAGACTGAGAGAATATTAAATCAAAACTGGTTAAACCAAACAACTAAAAATATCCACTCTAAACTGTGATGTTAACACAGTATTAATGATGTCAATATATTTAGAAAACATTGCTCTGAGCTTATGAAGCTACAACAAAGGCTCCATGATTTTTTTTTTTCACTCTAACAGCTTCTGACAAAAGCCTTTCACAGAAACTAAACAAAAAAGACCTAATTGATAAAACTCTCAAGATTAAACTTTGCCTCTTTACAACAGTGTAATTAAACATTTTCCAGCTGAAACTCAGAACACATCCCTGAAAAAAGGCTAGTGACAGATATAAATGGTCTTGCATGTTTTCCTTGCAATTTCTGTATTGGCAGAGCAAATCTCTTTTATAAGCCTATACCAATTCCTTTATTTATATGAAATAGCTAAATTTCCCTATGATGTTCTATTTTTCCCATTAATTGAATCTTGACTTTCATTCCACTCTTTCTCTGGCTCTTCCTCTGTCCATTTAAAATCCCTTGCCAAGGCTAGCATAAAAGCCATTGGTGGGATTCAGTAAGTCTTTCATTTCGGATATTTTATATGTTGCAAAAGTAAAGAAAAATGGGACACTCTTCAGAGTGACTACCAGGAGAGACTGTACTGTCTGTTGTCTCATTTGCAGTACGCAAAAAAGGCATATGACAATTATTTTTTGCTGCCTGTGCCCAAGAAATGGAAATTACCTTTGATGCAGCACCTGGGACTTTAAAAGATACTGGTATTTCCCTTCAAATCCACTTTTTGGGTATAATGTTTAACTTAGAGATTATGCATTTGGTCCTTGATGTAACATAGTATCCTTGTTCTCAGCTTGGAATGTATTTTAAAACAGTTTTCCTTAGGAAGTCAGTGATTTAGAAAATCATTATCTTCAGTTGATATGACTATGAAAACACTTCTTTGGTGTTTTTTTTTTTGTTGTTGTTTGTTTGTTTGTTTGTTTGTTTGTTTGTTTTTTGTAATGGCATCACATTTTAAAGAACCATTAAGCAAAAAGAAACAAAGAAACAAAATGGACAGATTTTCTCCAAGCGATAGAATACAACACTTTTGTTCAGTTCATGTGCCCCTCTTTGTAGCTTGAAGATTTTGTCAGGAATCAGGACACATAATTATGTTTAATAAGGTGAAGGTGTCAGAAGATGCAGGTGTTAATACTAACTCAAAAATCATTTTAATTGTATATTAATACTAAAAAAGTAACATGCTGGCTCCATAGAAGTCAGTGGAAATATCTCTTAACTTCAGAAGCTTTGAACATTTTGCAAACAAAACATGGGCTGCATTAACACTCCATTATTCCCTGACTTTTCATGCCAATAATTAGAGGTGACAGCATCAAGAACATTAAAATGATGAAGCTATTATGAAGTTTGTTCTTTCAAATCACTCTACACAATAGATTGTTACCTGGGTAAAGTATACAAATTTAGAATTTAGAACAATCAGAACATATGTGTCTTTTTGCTTTTCACTGGGACCTGAATGTACCCCTGTCCAGTTGCAAAAGGTGTTTACATAGGCACACTGAACAAGATGATTTATTTTTCAGATAAATCCAGAAGTGGCTCCACCTCACTGGCAAAGGTGAGGATGACCCTGTCCTCCATCTTAGTATTGAGGGTGGGGAAACAGGAGGAGGGACCAGGACAAGAAATGTAGGAAGAGGAGCTCGCTGGCCATGACAGTCACACAGCACTGTATATTTTGTTCCTCATGCTTACTGTTATCTATTGCTCTATAGGTGAGCAATAAATTGTGGGATTAATAGTGGGACAAAGAGTGCTGGGAAAATGTAGGTGAGAAGAAGACTGGGGAATTTAACTTCCTTTAGTAAGTCTTTGGAAGAACCATTCAATGTCCCTACAGATCTGTTTTTAGAGATGAAACAACCTCCAGTGCTGCAACTGGCTTTTAGAAGGTTTATACAAGATGATAAGATGTCATGCCCAAAATAAACATGCCATTTTCCCACACTAGAGGTATACTATAAAACTCCTTTTATTCAATAAAATGCTACACTTACCTGTGAGACCAGCAGCTTCTGCTGATAAGAAGGCACTCCAAGATAGGAGGAAAAACAGACCTGTCTCCAGCATGGGGAATTCACATAGCTTTGTAAATTTTGTCAGGTGCTGAAAGGTTGCTAAGGAAAAGTAAAAAACAGCTATTTTATAAGCTTAAATTGTCCACAAAGAGGAAAAGAAAAAAAAAAAAAGACACCTCCCTCCCCCACCTATATGAGGAAATTCAGGAAAAACTGCACAACTTGCTTGTTCAGCCTGGAGAAGAGGAGGCTCAGGGGCAACCTTATCGCTCTCTACAGATACCTTAAAGGAGGCTGTAGTGAGGTGGGGGTTGGCCTGTTCTCCCACGTGCCTGGTGACAGGACGAGGGGGAATGGGCTTAAGCTGCGCCAGGGGAGTTTTAGGTTAGATGTTAGGAAGAACTTCTTTACTGAAAGGGTTGTTAGACACTGGAACAGGCTGCCCAGGGAAGTGGTGGAGTCACCATCCCTGGAAGTCTTTAAAAGACGTTTAGATGTAGAGCTTAGGGATATGGTTTAGTGGGGACTGTTAGGGTTAGGTTAGAGATTGGACTCGATGATCTTGAGGTCTCTTCCAACCTAGAAATTCTGTGTGTGATTCTAAATTATCTCAAAGAGGAAAATCCAGCACAGGTTTTAAATGAGTGAATTGTGCAACTCTGTTATTTGAAGTGCTTCTTTGGTTTTTGAACCAATGCTTAATTGGTTGCATTTTATATTACTTCCCCAGAAATAGAGGAGAAGCTCATTTTGTCCAGTTCTGTATTGATCAGCATTTGTTTTACATTTTCATCAGTGCAAGAAAGATGAAAATAGCTGCTCTTCATTCTTCATAGTATTTTACATGAAGAACTGTAAAACACAAAAAAAGTGCAGGGTAACAGATATGCCTTTTGTTTCTGTTTTAGGTAGACTGACTGTCTTCCTTTGTAGTCTGGAGTTTGCCTTGCATTTTTCTGTGATTGCTGCTAGTCTGTAGTTCATAATTAAGTTCATGTAGTTCATATATTCACATTTTAATCTCAGATCATGTCAAAACCTCAAAATCTCACTATTTACAAACAGTAAAGACCAAAGTGTTGCCTAATGTTAAAATAGATTTGCATGAAATTTAGAAATAGGCTTGTTTGAGGTCTTTGTGATTCTGACAAACTAAATGTCTTGTCAGTTCATGACTTAACTGTTTGCAAAGTCTTGAGTCGACAGTGAAAAGGTTCAAGCTCAAAGTAAAGATGATCACATTCAGGTACTATACATATATATAGATGTTCTCTCTGAAAACAACCCATGAAGGATATTAAAGCTGTGACAACAGCATAAGAGGATCCCATAGCAAATGATCCAGCAAAGATCCCCAGGAAATTTCCCACTGACTGGAAGAAAGCAGCAGCATCAAACGCATTAGGATTCTCCTTAGGACTGTAAATGGATATAGAGCTGAAAAGAAAACAAAGGGATTAGGGAGAGGGAGAGAAGAGGCAATAATGAATACAATCACATTATTATGATACTGGAACCACTAATTGAAAATAGACATTTTTAGGGACTCAAAATGCAAAACAAGGCTTCTTGGTGCTGATAGCAGATGGGAAGGCAAAGCAGATTGAGACTGGGGTGGGAAGCAGTTTATTTTTAAGGTATCACAATGGAAATCAGTGGTCTGCTGCCAGTCAGTAAACATTTTTATATAAGAAGTGGCATAAAGAATATTGTTTCCAGGCTGACTAAACATTAATAGGTGGTCGGTGTATAAGAAATGTGCAGGGAAGATAGATAACTTTGAATTATTTATTGACCATATGTCTTCAGTACAGTTATATATTCACAAATATTCCTGATAAAAAACACAGCTTTACAGCTGAGGCTCAGATGGGTGATACAAATCACAGTAGGTACCAAATCTGCAGCAGCAATCTTGTCGTAAACCACCTAGTAGTTCTCTTCTTGGTGTAGCCCTTCATAAATACAACTGAAAGCATATCAAGAACTCAACAATAGGAAGCCTTGAGGACAGAATGAGTGTTGTCCCACAGGAAGAAACTGCTGAAGTTGTCAGAGGTCATCTCCCACGTCCCACCTCTGAGCACAACCATCAAGAGTATTTCTGAATGGGAAACAGTGTCACCGAAGTGGAGATTGTTTGTAAAACATTTCTGAGAGTTTCAGGATTAGTATTTGCCAGTAGCCAGTTATTTCCTAGAAATACCAAATATTTATGTCTTTTTTTGCTTCTGGAGCCATTAAACTTAACAGATACACAATAACCTTAAGCCTCCTAAACATTAATTAAGCAATATATCAGAACTTTGTGGTTCTGTTGCATTCAGTACTGTAGGCCTTTTATGTTTATTGTGAAAGAAAATGCACTGAGCTTGGCGCTGGATTCCAGAATGTAGCTTGGGTTGCTGGAAAATGGTTGGTATTTTAAGCATTAAAAATTTAGAATTCTTGAAACGTTTTGAATATTTTAAGCTCTTGCATATTAAGTATGTGGTCCCAGCAGTATGATGTCTTCCATCTGGAGTTAAGACTTAGCCACATAGCTCTTTATGGAGGATTTTCTAAACAGTTACATTAATTTAGGAATCTGAAAATAATATGAAGACAATTGAAAGCAGACATCATACTTTCAATCTGTAAAAAAGGCACAAGGATTCTGAAACATATGGTGAAGCACCACTAAATATGGGAGGTAAATACTAACGCACAAGAATGGAAATCACTAAGCACCAAAATCTGGTATCTCTAGTTATGCTGATCAGCACTATCACAAAACTAGTGAGATGATTCATACTGGAAAATGCTATTAATATTTCTACACAAAATACTGTTCCCAGAGGAAATGCTCTTTGACAAAATGCCACTCTCTAAGTTTTCAGTCCTCTTTCATCTGTGACTCTCTTTGACCCTATTCTTAGACCAAGGGTCAGTTATAATTCTTTGCTTCTCTTGCCTTCAAATGACTCTTGAAATGTTTGTCTTTGCCCTATTGAATATTTGTTGGTTTAAACCTTGTAGGAAATAAAGAACTGTATTAAACAACAGATATATTTGCTATAAGGATGGAATAGGTATCTCTGTCAAAGGAAATCCTATCTGTAGTGATACTGTACAATTATGTTTATCCTAGAGAAAAGAAGGCTCTCTGGACCTTATATGTTATATTTTAGTGTCCTTCCAATACTTAAAGGATTCTTACAAGAAAGATGTGGAAAAGCTCTTTGCCAGGATGTGTAGCAATAGGACAAGGGGTAATGAACTTAAGTAAAAGAGGGAACATTTAGATTAGCTCCAAGGAAGAAATTCTGCATTCAGAGAGTGGTGAGGCCCTGCCTCAGGCAAACTGTGGGCAAGCAAGATGTGCCAAAGCCCCATCCCTGGCAGCGCTCAAGGCCGGGTTGGATGGGGCTTTGGGCAGCCTGGGCCAGTGGGAGGTGTCCCTGCCCATGGCAGGGTGTTGGGACTGGGTGGGCTTTAAGGTCCTTTCCAACCCAAATCATTCTATAATTCTGTGATTCTATAAACTAAACTAAGTGTATTTTGTATCCTTAGGGAGGGCTCCAGTTTAGTTAGTTAGTTAGAGCTGAAAATCTTAAGTAGTGTAACCAGAAATGCTAGATCTAAAACTGTAGGCATGTCTTGACACTAAAGCTGACACTGGGTTCTTTCTTATTTAACTCAAGTATACAGTGCCTGCAGGTCTTACTATATATTGCTTAATGAATTATAAATCAGGAATTGATTATTTGTGTCACAGGTGCTCTGAATTCACTACTCACAAGCATTGAATAGTGAATTTAGGGAGGTCAACCTGACCACATCCTAAAATAAAGCAACACCATTCAATTATATTGATGGGCTCTGTCCTCAGAAAAGAGTGCTCAGTAATAAAAACAACAACAAAAAAAGTATTGACATGGAGAGAAAGTTTACTAATCAAATTTCAGCTATTGCCATGATTTGACTTTTTATTTATCTATTTATTTATTTATTATTATGTACGTTAACCTTAAGGCAACAGAAGTTGACTGGCTATAAGCTCTTCAGAAGGGACAGGCAGCACAGAAGGGGTGGTGGTGTGGCTCTCTATATTAGAGAGTCTTTCGATGTTGTAGAACTCGAGGCTGGGAATGACAAGGTCGAGTCCCTTTGGGTTAGGATCGGCAGGGACAACAAGGCTAGTGTCCTGGTCGGGGTCTGCTATAGACCGCCGAACCAGGATGAGGAGACGGATGAGGAGTTCTACAGGCAGCTGACAGAAGTTGCGAAATCTTCAGCGCTTGTACTCATGGGGGACTTCAAGTTCCCTGACATATCCTGGAAGCACAACACAGCCCAGAGAAAGCAGTCTAGGAGGTTTCTGGAGAGCGTGGAAGATAGCTTCCTGACGCAGCTGATTAGTGAACCTACCAGGGGTGGTGCCCCGCTAGACCTTCTCTTCACAAACAGAGAAGGACTGGTGGAGGATGTGATTGTCAGGAGCTGTCTTGGGTAGAGTGACCACGAAATGGTGGAGTTCACTATTTTTGGCGAGGCCAGGAAGGGGACCAGTAAAACCACTGCATTGGACTTTCGGAGGGCTGACTTTGAGCTGCTCAGGACACTAGTTGGTGGAGTCCCTTGGGAGGTGGTTCTGAAGGGCAGAGGGGTCCAGGAAGGCTGGGTGCTCTTCAAGAGGGAAATCTTAATAGCACAGGAGCGGTCTGTCCCCATATGCCCAAAGATGAGCCAGCGGGGAAGAAGACCAGCCTGGCTCAATTGTGGCTTGAGCTTAGGAGAAAAAAGAGGGTTTATAATCTTTGGAAAAGTGGGCAGGCCACTAGGGAGGACTATAAGGATGTTGCGAGGCTGTGCAGGGACAAAATTAGGAAGGCCAAAGCTCATCTGGAGCTCAATCTGGCTACTGCCGTTAAAGATAACAAAAAACATTTTTATAAATACATCAACACAAAAAGGAGGACTAAGGAGAATCTCCATTCTTTACTGGATGTGGGGGGAAACTTAGTTACAAGAGATGAGGAAAAGGTGGAGGTGCTCAATGCCTTCTTTGCCTCAGTCTTTAGAGCAATACCGGTTGTTCTCTGGATACCCAGTACCCTGAGCTGGTGGAAGGGGATGGGGAGCAGGATGTGGCCCTCACTATCCACGAAGAAATGGTTGGTGACCTGGTACAGCACTTGGATGTGCACAAATCGATGGGGCCGGATGGGATCCACCCAAGGGTACTGGGAAAACTGGCAGAGGAGCTGGCCAAGCCCCTATGCATCATTTATCAGCAGTCCTGGCTACTGGGGGAGGTCCCAGTTGACTGGCGGCTAGCAAACGTGACGCTCATCTACAAGAAGGGCCGGAGGGCAGAACTGGGAAACTACAGGCCTGTCAGTTTGACCTCAGTGCCAGGGAAGCTCATGGAGCAGATCCTCTTGAGAGTCATCATGCGGCACTTGCAGGGTAAGCAGGCGATCAGGCCCACTCAGCATGGGTTTATGGAAGGCAGATCCTGCTTGACGAACCTGATCTCCTTCTATGACAAAGTGACGCGCTGGGTAGATGAGGGAAAGGCTGTATATGTGGTCTACCTTGACTTCAGCAAGGCTTTTGACACCGTCTCCCACAGCATTCTCCCCAAGAAACTGTCTGCTCTTGGCTTGGACTGGCGCATGCTTCGTTGGGTTAGAAACTGGCTGGATAGCCGGGCCCAAAGAGTCGTGGTAAAGGGAGTCAAGTCCAGTTGGAGGCCAGTCACTAGTGGCGTCCCCCAGGGCTCGGTGCTGGGGCCGGTCCTCTTTAATATCTTCATCAATGATCTGGACGAGGGCACTGAGTGCACCCTCAGTAAGTTTGCAGATGACACCAAGCTACCCGCATGTGTCGATCTGCTCGAGGGTAGGAAAGCTCTGCAGGAGGATCTGGATAGGCTGCACCGATGGGCTGAGGTCAACTGCATGAAGTTTAACAAGGCCAAGTGCCGGGTCCTCCACCTGGGGCGCAATAACCCCAAGCAGAGCTACAGGCTGGGAGATGAGTGGTTGGAAAGCTGCCAGGCAGAGAAGGACCTGGGAGTGATGGTGGATAGTCGGCTGAATGTGAGCCAGCAGTGTGCTCAGGTGGCCAAGAAGGCCAACGGCATCCTGGCTTGTATCAGAAACAGTGTGACCAGCAGCACTAGGGAGGTGATCGTCCCCCTGTACTCAGCTCTGGTGAGGCCGCACCTCGAGTACTGTGTTCAGTTTTGGGCCCCTCGCTACAAGAAGGACATCGAGGTGCTTGAGCGGGTCCAGAGAAGGGCGACGAAGCTGGAGAGGGGCCTGGAGAACAAGTCCTACGAGGAGCGGCTGAAGGAGCTGGGCTTGTTCAGCCTGGAGAAGAGGAGGCTCAGGGGCGACCTTATCGCACTCTACAGGTACCTCAAAGGAGGCTGTAGCGAGGTGGGGGTT